CATGGGTCTACTCGGACTACCCTTACCCCGAGGACATCCCTGACGACTATAACTCCGACCGCCTCCCGAACGATTACCCCGACCGTCTGCCGAACAACCCCGACCGTCTGCCGAACGACCCCGACCGTCTGCCGAACTACCTCGACCCTCTCCCAAAGGACCCCGACTCTTTCCCGAACGACCCCGACTCTCTCTCGACCTACTCCGACTCTCTCCTGGACGACTTATACCCCGACGTATACTACATGGGACCTGACTACGACGAGTACGGCACTGACGGCCCCGACCCCGACAACCAGACAGATCCATACGGCAATAACATGTACCCTGGTGACCCTCCCCATGCCGAGTATTCTGCCCCAGAACCGCTAGACAGTAACCCAGCAGACACAAAATGGTCCCCTTACCCAGAACACGAGCCCCATCCCCCAAGTGATGTGTCGGAGGAGTTTTCTGCCCAGGAGAAGCTAGACTGGGCCCCGCCGGCAGAGGGTTACCCCTACCCAGACCCTGAGCAGGCTCCCCATTCCCCGAATGAAGGATCAGGAGGGGTCCCGTTCCCCGAAACTGAGTACCCTCCCCGCCGGTTTTCTGACGACCCAGCCGGGGACCCGCCAGGACACCCCGAACCCGCATGGGACAGCCCTCCCGTAGACCCAGAGCCAGAGAGTTTCCCTGACTGGGAGCCCCGTTCAGAGCCAGAAGATTGGGCCCAGCCAGAACCCGGCCGGTTCCGCCGGCATGCCCGTCCCGAGCCCGAATGGGAGCCCAACCCGGACCCAGAGGCCTGGGACCCGCCAGCAGACCCAGAGTGGGATCCGGAGCCCCGCCCAGAGTCGTCGGAAGAGTGGACAGACCCCGAACCTGAATGGGAGCCCCGCCCTGGGTCGTCGTCGAAAGAAGAGTGGGCCCAGCCTGAACAGGAGCCCCGTCCAGGGTCGTCAGAAGAGTGGGACCCGCCAGTTGACTACGAACCCGAAGGTTTCCCCGAATCCCGCCCAGAATCAGAAGAGTGGGCCCCGCCCGTAGACCCCGAACCCGAATGGTACCCTGAACAGGAGCCCCACCCTGGGTCAGAAGAGTTAGCAAACCCCGAATCTGAGTGGGGGAACCGCCCTGGTTCCGAGGAGTGGGCCTCGCCCGCAGACCCCGAGCCTGAATGGTACCCTGAGCCAGAAGAGAGGGACCCGTTAGCAGACCCTGAACCCGAATGGTACCCTGAAGAGGAGCCACAGCCAGAATCGGAAGAGTGGGAGCCCCGCCCAGGGTACGATGATGCCTGGGCCTCGGCTGTAGACCGCCCCACGGGGAAGTACCCCCGCTCCCTGCCCGGGTCCCGACCGTATATCGGGGAGACGGACCAGCGGCCGCTCCTGGAGCACCCCGACTGGGTGGGGGACTCCGCACCCCTCCCTAGCCCTGGCCAGCTCCCGGACAGCCCAGCTAACCCACCTATTGAACCCTACAACCCAGCTAACCCACCTATTGACCCTGAAAATCCTGCAAACCCACCCATAGAACCGTACAACCCCGCTAACCCACCCATGGAACACAACAACCCCGCTAACCCATCCATCGAAGCCAACAACCCACCCATAGAAACCAACAACCCAGCCAACCCGCCCATGGCCAACAACAGCACTGCCAAAATGACAGACTCCCTGCAATCCGACTTCGCTCGTGCGAAGCGCTCCCTCAGTCACGGCAACGCCAAGCACAAGGCGCACCGCCTGGCCGATTTCCCGCCACACGGTAACCCGAAACCCCACCCCCATGCCGACCAGGCCTCGCGCGCCCCTAACCCCGGGCGGGACGCCCCTAAGGCTGAGCGGGACGGGCCCTCGGTTTGGGACGAGCCCTCGGGGCGGGACGGCCCACCAGGGGAAGACGACCCGGTTCCCCTGAAGAGGAAGCGCCACGGCAAGACCAGCCGGGCCCGCGGCGACAAGCCCGCGCACATGGCCGCCAAGCTGTACTGAAGTAGCCTCCGTAGCAGACTTATAGAACTGGGGGTTTGGTGGTCTTCGGCTGTTTTCTGATTAGCCCAGTTCTAAACGGTTGTAATTCAACCAGGCCGGCTATGTTGTCTATATGCAATCAGAGAATATAGCACATAAAAGCTCCCAAAAGACACTGAAGACCCCCAAACCCCCAGTTTTTGGCATGCTATGGAGGCTGTACTGAAGCCTCAGCCCGCCCTCGTAGCAAGAAATGCCTGGTGCATTTCCTATAGCAGTAAGGAGGCTTTAGTCTTAAGGCTTGCAGTAACGTGGCCTATAGAATGTATTCTCTAGTAGTACCTAAGACTTTACGTTATTCTTTTATCCTTCTATCCTATGTATCATGTTACTCAGTATGATATACAATTATGTAACATCACACTCCGATGTATGCATTTAGCCCCATGGGCACGAACATGGAAAGATTCATTCATTTAAGTATTAGGAATGCAGTAAAGTGTCTGCAGTCTTTTGCAATGCTACTTATATGGCTACTTTTTTCCTACTGTAGGAATTAGAATTAAATGTTTAAGTGTAATGAGAAATGATAACGGAATATTGAATGGTTGCATGATGACAAAGAACTGCAAGGGCAAAAAAGGCCATTATATACATGTAGGAAATCAAATCTAGAGGTCTAAAAGGTGTATTACTAGTAACTAGAAGAGTAAGCATGAAACAGCTTGGAACTTTAATAGGAATGCTTGACTTTTGAGGGTACTTTTGTCGCTACTGTATGGATCAAAACTAAACGCTTGTTGAAGTGTAATAAACAAAAGCAACGGAATATTGAATTGTACAATGCCAAAGAACATCCAGAGAAAGAAAGGCCTATGTCAGAAAGAAAAGAGTGTGTAGAAAATTAGAAAATGTAGATCTAGCCAGTTTTGTTGTAGAGATCTGACAAATTTACTGATTGCAATGCTTTTATTTTAGCCCTTAGAAGTCTGCTTGAGGCTATAACACATGTAAACCTACTGATATAGAAATGCTGTAAGGTCAATGTTTCTGTGAATAAAGACAGAGTAACTGAGAAAAGTTTGTCTTGATGTTTCTGCTTTATGTTTTGGGTAAAAAAATAAGGACTGTTGGTGGGAAATCTGCAGAGTAAAAAGTTTTTATTAGGTGTAATCTTTAATTTCCATTTGTCATGGCAACAGGAAGCAGAATGGTCTGTGAATGAATAACTTACATAAAAATACAATACAGTAATTTCTACCCTTTTTCTCTTCCCTGTCCAATACAATAACTTGTAATTTCCTACGTTTTAAACTAAAGGTACTATAGCTATATAGTTACAAATTATGCATGTAGGTGCTACATGTACATTTGCACAATCTAGATCCACATAATGTGTCTAAAGTATGAAAATATTATCAGTACATTATAAGTCATGACATCACTTTTGCAATTAGTAACCATTACTAGCTTTTCCTCTTTTGCTATGTTACATTATTAAGTCAACATGGAGGCACAACATGGCCGCACCCATGGCTGGGAGCTAAAACATAACAGGTTTTTGGTACTGCAAAGCCTATACATTTTGTAATACAATGTAATCTTTTCAGACACACAGCTGTTTATGCCCCCTTTCCATTTTCATCCTGATTTTTCCAGCTATGGTAAGCACAGTCTTTGTGGCCCATTTCTTCTCCAGCATCTTTCAAATCATCTGAAATACATTTACAGTGAAGTAATATTGCACACAGGAGTAAAATGCATTCAGGGGTCTATATGTTCTGATTCATCTAATGCAAGTGTTTGGATAGACATGTTCTGAACCTCAGTTTCTGCATGGACCGACGGTGGTGCCAGCGGTTTCTCTCCTGTGTGGACTTTCATGTGTACTTTCAGATGGCTCCACAGTGCTGACCTGTACCCTGTTCTGTAGTCACACACACCGCATCTGTAGGGTTTCTCCCCAGTGTGTGTGACCATGTGAAGGTCCAGGTTAGCTTTCCGAGCCGTCCTGTATCCACACTCCACGCACACGTAGGGTTTCTCTCCTGTGTGAGTGGTCATGTGTGTGTCAAGGTTTCCCTTTCTAGCTGTACAGAAGTCACACTGGTCACACTTGTAGGGTTTCTCCCCTTTGTGGATTTTTGCGTGTTTGGACAGATTGTACCTGTTAGCTGTACGGTAGTCACATTCGATACACACGTAGGGTTTGTCTCCTGTGTGTTTAATCATGTGCCTGTCTAACACGTCTTTTCTGTCTGTACAATAGTCACACTGGTCACACTTGTGAGGCTTTTTTGCTGTGTGCGTTTTCATGTGTCTGGATAGGCCTGAGCTGTAGTCAGACCTGTACCCACACTCCCCACACATGTAGGGTTTGTCTCCTGTGTGTTTACCCGTGTGGGTACGCAAGTCTCCTTTCGTAGCTGCTTCGAAGCTGCACTGGTCACACTTGTAGGGTTTCTCTCCAGTGTGTTTAGCCATGTGTCTGTCTAAAGATCTCTTCTGAATGGCGGAATAGTCACACTGGTCACACTTATATAGCTTATCTAGTGTATGGGTCTTCACGTGCTTGTTCAGGCTAGACTTATAACCCGTTCTGAACCCACACTCTCCACACACGTAGGGTTTCTCACCAGTGTGTTTAGCCATGTGAATGTGTAGATCTTTCTTCTTAATTGCTGAATACTCACACAGGCCACACTTGTAAGGTTTATACCCTGTGTGGGTCTTCATGTGACATGATAGAGCAGACCTGTCAGCTGTCCTGTACTCACACTCGACACACCTGTAGGGTTTCTCACCTGTGTGTTTCGCCATGTGAGTTTTTAGGTGTTTCTTCTCCACTGCTGAATACTCACACTGGTCACACTTGTATGGTTTATCTCCTGTGTGGATGCTGACATCTCTGTACCCACCCTCCCCACACATGTAGGGTTCCTCACCAGTTTGGGTTGTCACGTCATCCATGTCTCATCTGTGGTGGTTATAATGCCATCAGTTACTGTTTTGCTGCCTTCTTAGGGAACTCCAGTGGGAGACCCAATACTTGCTGTGAAACCTCGGTGGGAGGCCCAATGCTCGCTCTCTGTCTGAAAGATGATAAAACATGAAGACAATTATGACTAAATGTTTTGGGGTTTCAATAAAATTATTTTGACTTTGATTATCAAAACATGACTATCAACTTTTATCAAGAAAACTGTTGTGCCACATTTCTCGTTGAATAGCTTACAATAGTGTCCTCCAAGTTATTATGTTGAAGGACACTATCAGTATGTAACGCTATATACTATACAAGCCAATAAATTTGGCCCTCCCAAAGTCACCCCGGCTAAGAGCTAGTCGTGGCTCGTTATTATAAGGGAAGCCGTGCTTGCTTTTCCTATGCTTTAGATAGTAGTACTAGTATATGGTCGTAGTAACTGTGTCTTCCTTTTAGTTTGCCTCTACCAGGCTTGGGGAGGCGGCTGGAAAGAGTAGAAATTGGTCAAAATAGAGAGATAAGCATGCCAAGGGAGTTTGTCCGTTAAGAGAACTGTTATCTCAACGGACAAACTCCCTTGGCATGCTTATCTCTCTATTTGACCAATTTCTACTCTTTCCAGCCGCCTCCCCAAGCTACCTTTTTAGCCACGGCCAGCTTCTGGGTCGAGAAGTCAAAACCGGAAGTAGGTTCTTCGGGCAAATATGTGCACATATCTGCAACATTAGAGCCCACATTCTACTTACCTCAAGTCCAGCTGTTCATCCAAATCATAACAAAGATGTCGGCTGCCAGATTCTCGCTTTGGACCAGAAAAAACGTCTGAAATTCGGGAGGAAATGGACAAAAGATGCAACGGGAATCCTCAAAATGGCGAATGTACACACTCTGGGCATAGGTCAGAGGTCAACAAGCAGTGCCTGATTACCCAAATATGATAGCGTGACCCGCCACATCTTACAACGGAGGTCTCTGTTGTACCGTGCTTTATCCAGACTATTGCAACTATCTTTATATAAGTTTTCCTTACATTTTTTTTTATTCTGTTACATTTTCTGTTGGACTTACGTAGTAAACATGACAGTCTGAGTGATGGCAGACTTCACCCCCTTACCCATACTGCTTTGTGTCCTACGGTAAAAGTAAGTTGAGTTATAAATTATTTCATGCCAAAAACAATCACAACGTAAGTGGCATAAAATTCAATATTTTGTTTATTCATTTCTCGAATCGGTCATAATTTCATTTACACAGTAACATAACAGTGAAATTTTCCCACCTTTTTCAAAATCTATTTTTGAAAAGCAGGTGCAGCTACCTCCATACCTTTTGTTTATTCAGTGTTGGTATCCGGGACACAAGTTTCTAGGTTATTGTGACATTTCTGTGGATGCCTCTGAATCCTAGCCTCTACCAGGCTTCGGGAGGTAGCTGGAAAGAGTAGAAATTGGCTATTAAAATAGAGAAATATCTCTCTAGAGTACTCTACTCTCTAGCAGACCAACTCCCCTGGCCTGGCATGTTAGCTCTCTTGCCCAATTTCTACTCTTTCCTGCCACCTCTTAAAGCCTGATAGAGGCTAGCATAACATCACACTACCAACTGCACAAAATATCATATGTTTGCTGAAAAAAAGGGACATTACATCCAAATTGTGATGTTTTCCAACTCTACATAACATTGCATTCACAACTAATGTAATATCACATTTTTAGCATCTTTATTAGTTACTCTGTATGGTAAGGGCCATCCTGTTTTGCATGTTATTTTTAAAGTATGCAGACATCAGATAACTATATTAATAAATTCTCTTGGCTTGACAGCAAAGTCAAGCCACTACAGATTCTACCTCTACAGCAAAATATGCTGGAACAAATAAATTACTGTTACACACATGTTGTTTTTACCAGTAGGACTTATATAATGGGGCAGAAATACTCTATATTTTTCTTTTATCTCGAACACTTATAATATCTTTTAACTGATGTTATTGTCTTGCACAAAATAACACATGTTTAAAACAACTTTTACAATTTTTGCATCATTTGCTAGTAAGAGTACATTTAGGCGTGTTTGCCACCATCAGCAAAACAGAAATACAAACTTGTAGTTTTCTTCCTAAACCCTAAACTGCAACCTGATGAAAAAATCTCACAGTTTACTCAAGTTTTGGAGAAATTCAAGCTTACAACCAAATTTACTTGACACTTTTATAAGCATCATTATCAGAAAAGAGCATCTCTGAAAAGTCTATTTTGGACCAATCAGAGAACACCATCATCAACATTACCAAGTTCTGATTGGACAGTTGCTAATCGGAATATCGTCTGGTTACACCAATCAGGACAGGACATCTTAAACTTAAAGCAGTCCTGATTGGCTGTTCCTAAAACAAAAGTTTCCTGCTGCAGCCAATCAGGGAAAACAACTTTCTACTTTAGAAAGCCCCTATTGGCTACTCAGGTTGCATGACCTCATCTCTACTGCTTTGACCAATCAGAGCCAACCTTCTTTGTAATCATTGATGTGATTGGCTGGGGTACCTCTACATTTGGACCAATCAGGAACGTCATGTTTTTCCCCAACAGATCTAATTGGCTGCTAGGAAATTTACACAATTTATTGACTAATTTGCAAATTAGGCTAAGGTGCTACCCTTCCCCCCAAAAACCTAAATTGTGCAGGGCCTTCTGTAAATTCTTATGTGCAGACAAAATTTTAAAATTGAGAAGGACGTGGAATGATTCACAACACCAGCACACCACCAGTGCAGCATTTGCTTCTTTCCATGACATTGCAGCACGGAAAAGCCATCACATTAAATTCATAAGTCATAGACAAATGTCAACTCTAGTCTCCACCTAACTCCTTTGCAGGCTGAATACATAAAAATAGTAGAAATTGGCCTAAAAGGAATGTAGCTGGCCTGGGGAGTTAGCCGGCTATAAAATGTCTATGTATGCGAGCAAACTAGACACTCTATGGCCGACCAACTTCTACTATTTATTCAGCCTGCAAAAGAGTCTGGTGGAGTCTATGACAACTGCATGCTGCAAAGAATGGACCACTAACAGGAGAGAGATTCTTGGCCATTTCTTCCTACGTCTCCAATTTGTAACTTCATATTATGTTTATCCTCTATTTTGTTCCTGTTATTTTCCTGTGAAATCTATATTTACCTGTCTTTCTATCTGCAAATTTTTTGTCTTAATGTTTAATCAACCACAGTTCTGTCTAGTCCTGAACTGTTTTCTACATCATTAAATTTACTGGTCCTAAGATGATGTGTATTTTTACATGATGGTCACGTGATAGAATTTAATTTCTAATGTCTAGTTAGATGGATGATTGACAGCTGTCAGTCATCTCCTTTGTCCTCATCTTCCTCCTCCTCATCTTCTTCATCTTCATAATCTTCATCATCCTCTAGGTCCCCATCATCATCATCATCATCCACCTGGGGACCAACAGACTTCAGTTACAACAAACAAACAAACAAAGAACAAAAATATCACCCAGGGTATCTTGACAAAGACTGGAGTTGAACAGTCCAATTTCTTGTGTTGAAAATTACAGTTTAAACTTGCTTCATAAAGACTTCTACCAACACAGATGAACTTTCAAAATAAGGTATTTATTATATATCTTTCTATCTATCTATCCATACTATATAAATTCTCAAGACAGCATCCACTATCTTTCATCAGTTACAACAACATCACACAAGCAATTTCTTTTACGACAGACCAGTAAAATGCGTTAAAAAATCCTAAGTTTCCTAATGACCAAGCACAATCTTAATTTTTGTCATCTTACTTAACTCTTTCATTCATAGTAACCTTGCCTTTTCAGTCTTGTTTTTATTTTAAATTTTCCTTCTTTTTGGCAAGCCGCAATGTAGTTGTGCAGGCACGTCTAACCCTCTGAAGTCTGGGAAAAACACACAATAGTTGCCAGCCAACCTATTGTAGCTTTATTGTATTTTCTATAAAGTAATATTCTTCCTGGATGTCTAACTTTCATATAATGGATGTAAATGTTTCCTCACCTGTTCTCCTAGTTCCTTAAGTCTGTCTCTGTACTTCTTAATCTTGGCGTCCTGGTCGGCCAGCAGCACAAGGAGGTCGTCCTGCTCCTTGGACGCCGTCTCAGCCTCCTCCTCCAGACGCTTCTTTTCTTCACTCAATCTTTGAACCTGATGGCGTTTAAAAAACACAATCTACATCAGAACTAGAAAGGTAACATTTGTTTTGCAAAGCAAATGCATACTGTTTACCTTCGCATGTGGTCTGCTCTGTTAATTCTTACTCAAGCACATTCACAATATACATAGTGACAGGAGTCTAAATCCCTCCTGCTATAAAATTGCAACATGATGTAACCCAACACTAGTTACCATGGAGGTCATTGACCTTAATTGTGTGTGTGTTTGGAGAAGAAGAAACAGAGCAAAAAGAATGTTTCCTTCTGTGGAGGTAAGAATAAAGAAGAACGTGTTTGTAGAAGAAGAAACAGAGCAAAAACAATGCTTCCTTCTGCAAAGGAAGTTTGCACTGACCTTCTCCTCCAGTTCTGCAGAGTCAGCGTTGCCATCGGCAACAGGTGCGTTCTGCAGCTGTGTGTTCTGCACCTGCAGCTGCTGCACCTGCTCCTTCAGTCTGCGGTTCTCCTCCTCAGCGCAGGCGAGCTGCGACTCTGCAGCCGACAGCTTCGATTGGACGGCTGCTGTCTCCGTGGCAACGGCCTCAGGGGAGGGGCCGTTCGTCTGGGGGGAGAAACCATTCACGTCATAGGGGTGTGTGTGTGGGAGAAACCATTCATGTCATGGGGTGTGAGGGAGAAACTATTCACATCATGGGAAAGAAACCATTTACATCAGGGGGTGTGAGGGAGAGACCATTCACATCTTGGGGATGTAAGGGAGAAACCATTTGTGTCAAGCGGTGTGAGGGAGAAACCATTCACTTTTTGGGTTGTGTGAGGGAGAAACCATTCACATCTGGGGGTGTGAGTCAAACTTTCAATCTAACAAATCCATTTTCAAAAGAGCATCTGAAATAAAAATTTTGAGACTGAAGACAAGAAGAATGTTGTTTAATTTCTATCAGAACTCCTTTCAGCACCAAGGACAGAGGTACCAACTTTTGGTGACAAACAATTTCGAATGTCAGCAACGTTTCCCTGTCTGCCCTTCTAAGGCAGGAGTTCTGATCACATGGGAGCCTCTGGCTCACTCACTGACAAAAAAAGTGTCAAAAACTCACTGACAAGAACTGTGATTAGTTGCCATGGTTACCTGTGCAGACAATTTGGCCTTCAGAGTTTCGTTGTCGGTCCGGAATGTCTGGATCTCAGTCTCCTGTGAAGACAGCTGAAAACAACAGGAAATCTCAGTCATTATGGCTCCTGCTTCAGACTCTAATATCATCTATGAAATCCATCATCTGACCATTGTGCTGAGGTTAGAGGTTAAGGTTCAGGGTTCACCTGTGTCCTGAGTTCCTCCTTCTCCAAGGTCAGTGCCTGTATTCTGTCCTGCAGAGGTCGCGTGCTGTCTTCAGCTGACCCCTCGTCTCCCGCCTCGCTCGCTTCCCGTACTGCCGCCTTTGCTTCCGCCACAGTTAGGTCATTTTTCTGTCAGGAGGGGAAATGTGTAAAGTAAAATAGAAAAGTAACATTTGCAAAACAAATGCATCAAGTTTATCTTCACATTTTCTAACCTAACAAACAGCCGGTAGTGTTTTGCTTATTCTTACTCAAAAACATTATCTTAATATATGTTGTAACACAGTCTAACACAGTCCTGCAACTTGCTACATGATGTAATCTAACACTAACACCACAAGGTGTCTGCTAAAGCACCAGTTACAAAGGAGATAGACTTCTGGTCGAGTTCATTGACCTTATGTCTTTGAAAAAGAAGAAAAAAAGAGCAAAGACAATGTTTTCTTTTGGGAACTTGAAGGTAAAAATAATAAACTGCATTTCTGTTCTCTTACCAGCTGTTCTATAGTTTTGTCCTTCTCCATCAGCTGTTGTGTTTTTGACTCCAGCAGACGTTTGGACTCCCCCAGCTCCCCCTGTAACCTAGCAACCGCCTCCTCCCCTCCTCCTGCCTCCACAGGCTGGACCTGGGGAGACTCTCGACCTTCAGGGGACGGCAACACCAGGGGTCAGACGGATATTGTAAAACACTTAACACAATAATTATGTTTTCTTCGAAAAAAAATACACATAAAGGAAGCCATACAACTTATGTCTTGATAGAAGAAGCTGAGTTTCTCACATTAAAATCAATGGCCACAGTAAATTTAGCTACAAACATGTAATGATGACTAGTTATGCCCCCCTCCCACCTTTAGTAGCCTTCAGCATTGAGTACTGGTCCTGAAGCTGCTGCACAATCAAGGTCACCCCCCTCCCCACCCTGATGCCCACTCCCACTCTGACCCCTGACCTTTAGTAGCCTTCAGCAGTGAGTACTGGTCCCGAAGCTGCTGCACCATCGATGCCTGTTCCTGCAGCTGTTTCTCCGTCTCGCTCAGCTTGACCTTGACCTCCTGGAGTTCCTGCTTGGTGGAGTGAAGCTCTGCATCCTGCAAGGGGGGGGGGCGACACGAGAATCAGTACGGAAGTGAAGAGATAAAGAAACAAACAATGCTCAAAAATAAAAAAATAATGCAAGGATGGTCATATTTGGATGGAAGGAAGCTGAAAATTTCATTGAAACAAAAAGGACTAACGCTAAAAGGCAGTAGTTGAATTCCAGCTAGGCTACAGCACAATTATTATGTTAGTTCAATGGTGAGTTCCATATGACTGCCTACAATGTACTAAGCAGGTAAGGTGGGTTGGAGGGGGCATCATCTCAAAATTTACACCTGTTTTTCAAACTGAAATGAAGTAATTCATAACTGAGGGACAATCTCAGATCTGTTCATGCAAAATCTTTTTTTCCAATTCCAGGAAAATTGCAGGAAAAATTCTCTCAAATTCCAGGAACTTAATAAAATTGATTTTGAGATGATCCCTTCCACGGTTTAGTTGGATATGAAAGGGCTGCTACTTTCTACAAGCAAAGGTCAGAGGGCAGGGCAAAGGTCACCAATACTCACACTACAACCCACCTTACCAGCCTGTAACACACAGCAGAATATACACGGCTTTAGACTTTAGACTTGGACATTAAAAGTGCACACAGGTAATGTTCTTCAGTGAAAAACTTAATATTATACAGATTTAGCAAATTAATTAGATACTAGCAATCTTTATGTTCCTTTCTTTGAAGAACATTTTATGGATGATGTCCCTTCTTGGTAGCAAACATATACACCATTTGTGCAAAGAAATACTAGTATGTTGTAACCAAAAATCTACTAAGCTTGAAGAATTATGAACTTTCTGTCCTTTGAAGTCCGTTGACAGGTACACCTGTTGTGAAGGGACATGAAGGAAGGCAGGGCAGATGTGTAACCTATATACAGGTGTAGTTCTCAGGTGTCACCTGTTCTCTGATGAGTTCCTTGTACTGCGTGACGATCCCTGCGTGGTCCTCGATGGTCTTCTGTTCCGCCTGAAGGTGTGTTACCTGGATACCTGGGTAACCAGGTGTGTTACCTCAGGTGTTTAGTTATAACCTACCTGTTCTCTGATGAGTTCCTTGTACTGCGTGACGATGCCTGCGTGGTCCTCGATCGTCTTCTGTTCCGCCTGCTCCTCTTCCTTCGTCTTGGGTCGGACGGCTTTCATGATCACACCTGGGGGGGAAGACAGGCAGGTAAGGATCACCTGTACAACTTCAGCTTAAGCTTACCTGTCTATTACAATATCATACTACATTGGTGACAGTTCCACTCTGTGTTCCAACTGTATATTGTGTAACTGTTGTTGTTGTGATTTGTGAATGTATTGCGTTGTTTTTAAAAAAACAGGATTGTCTGAAAAACAGGTCAAATGACCTGAGTGCAATTTCCTGTATAAATAAATAAAGTGAAAGTGAAGTGATAGTTCTAGGAAAGAATGAATTTTTGAACACCTCAATCCTTGGTTCACTTGATAACTCTGGTACATGAAGGCATGGCTATTTCTTGTACTCTTCTGGGCTGGTATCAGATACTTAGTGGTTGGTACGTCCACCAGTTTATTAGTCATTTTGTACATCATGCATAGTCTGGACATTTTTCTTCTGTCTTCCAGTCATCATCATAGCTTGTCGCTATTTCTCTCAGCAAAAGTCCGAGCAGCTTCACTGGCCTCCTGGAGGTCTGAGTCTGTGCAGGTCGGCGAGAGTCTGCAGTTTCTCATCAGGTGTTGTAGGGTTTGGGGGTCCTCGCCACAGCTGCAGGCTGCACTGTTTGACTTCCCCCACCGTAGCAGGTTGTCAGCTGTCCTTGCAACCTTCGCCCTTGCCCGGTTCAGGGCGACCCAAGACCTTCCAGTGACACCCACTGTAGGTTACTTTTCATTTCCGTGTCACTAGCACTCCTTTCATAGTTGTTCATACAGAATCTTGCAGCTTGATTCTGAACCCTTTCCAGTTTGTCTTTGTCTTTCTCTGTATTAGAGAAGGTAAACATAACAAACAAACAAACAAGTAGTGTTATCCTGTAGTTACTAACCTTCGTACTGCCTGAAGAGTGCGACAAACTCGTAATCCAGCAGGACTTTCTCCGGTGCATCATACCGAGGCTGTGGCGACCGCGCCGCTCGCGAGTAGTGATCGCTCTTTGTCACGAAACTCAGCTTGTCCTCAAAACTCTCCAGACCTATCCTCTTTATAATCAGCTGCTGCAGCCTCTCTCTGTGGGGAACACAGAAAAATCTTATCAGTTTACAAGGACGACACAACAGATAAAAAATGACTAGCAACTAAATAACCAGTGTCTGACAGTGTTTTCTAGAAAACACTGTCAGACACTGGGGAGGGTTGGCTTTGTCATAGTCAGTTAATTCTAGCTAAAGAACTTCTGGTTTTTAGATGGAGTTGTTGTAAAGTGCACACAGATGCCCAGCAGTTTGCGCTAATGTATGTATGTTACCGATACAGATATGTTGTGAATGAAATTTGTACATACTTGGTTAAGTTCTCTATCCTGTTGCCGTTGTAGTGCACGCAGATGCCCAGCAGTATGTGGTAATGAATGTGGTAATGAATGAAATGTTTATTAACTAAAGGTTGATGGTTTGTACATGTACGTACTTGGTGAAGTTTTCAATGGAGTTCTCGTTGTAATGCACACAGATGCCCAGCAGTACATGTACATGTATGTGATAATGTATGTATGTGTGTACCGAGATTGTTGCAACTGTACGTACTTGGTGAAGTTCTCAATGCTGTTGTCGTTATAGTGCACACAGATGCCCAGCAGTAGAGCAAACAGACCCTGGGCCAACTGTTCATGTGGTAATGTATGTGGTAATGTATGAAAATATACTAACTACAGGTTTGTATAGTACATACTTTGTGAAGTTTTCGATGCTGTTGTCGTTATAGTGCACACAGATCCCCAGCAGCAGAGCGAACAGACCCTGGGCCAGCTGTTCATTTGGTCATGTATGTGGTAATGAATGTGGTAATGAATGAGGAAGTTTGTACATACTTTGTGAAGTTCTCAATGCTGTTGTCGTTATAGTGCACACAGATCCCCAGCAGCAGGGCGAACAGTCCCTGGGCCAGCTGTTCATCCTCCTCGGCCTGGTCTGTGATCTGACTTGTCAGCTGGAGGTCATAGGTCAAGGTCATGAACACAAGGTCACAGAGATACATGATATATACATGCATATAATATATATTATATATGAAAGTTAAAAAAGATAAACTTAAGGTACATTTGTAGTCTCAAAGACTTTGATGCCATAGGGGCAGTGGGTTGTTGATCCACTGTGTCTAGGGCACAGTATTGGAAGGCAGAGCCCATCCCTCTCCTTCTACTGCCACTGTCTTTTCCTTCTCTCCTTAATCGAAGTCAGGTAAATGACTGTTAAACAAAGTGTAATGATACAAATGACATGTCAGTTGCACTGTGCTGCCTATATGGTTCATACCAGTACTGTACATAATCTTCGTTGTAACATAAGGATACAAATGGCACATTAGTTGCATTGTGCAGGAAGTGTGTAACAGCGATGCTGCAGTCTGACAGCCAGGAACACAGCAGGATCAGCAGCCCCAGTCTCGTCTGCAGCTTTCCTCCCTAAACACAAGGGAACAGGCAAGTTACAAAAACAATTCTGCATTACTTAAATACTCAACATTATCACCCTGACAGCAGTGTTTAGTTAACTTACTGCAAAAATCCAGCATGATCTATTGAAATTCGAAATACCTGGGCTGGTTTCGAATCATGTTTGTAGTGCCAGTACAGTAACTGGACACTTAGCTATGTAGCTCCAGTATCATAAAAATTCAGCAATATAATAATACCACTGGTGGCTGATTTCATTTGAGGTGCTAGTTTCAAACTCAACATTACTATGTGGCACCATGCTGTCTCTCTTGTTTTCTCATGATCTAGGGGTAGGGGGAGGTAAGGGGGAACTGTGAATGTGGGGAGGGGGTAAAGCATGAGATGACTATTTCAAATGTGGTATCTAACATTTTTTTCAAAGAAATAGCATATGTTATCATTAATTCAATCTGTGACTTAAAATCTTCATTACAGTAAGTACGGAAAGCTATGGGCACTACAGCTTACATGCAGAGGCAGTCTAAGTCACAATAATGCTGAACATCTGCAATGCTCCCCAATTCATAATAAGCATGCCTGTTTAGTCCTATGAACCACGATATGACACCTTCTCACCCACCAATGAAAACCCAGTATGAGAATCCTTATGAACCTTGGTATGAGGCCTATGCTGCCCACCACTGAACCCTAATATGAGACCAATTTTATCCACCAATGTGCACTGTTCAGTCCCACAAACCTTGGTATATCTTTAGTGCCCACCATTAAACCCTAGTACATGTATTAGATCATCCACCAATGAACTCTGACTTTTAGATGTGCATTGTTCAGTCCAATAAACCCTGGTATGATACCTTCACTGCCCACCAGCAGGGCTCAAAATTCATTTTTGGGAATATGTGCACTGGTGCACCCAACCTAAAAAATTAGGTGCATAAAAATTTTTGGGTGCACCATATAAAACAAAACCTAATTATTACAAATCTTACTGCTCCTCTTCTGAGCTTAAATCTGAAATGGGAGCTAACTTTAAAATCTTAAACAAGAACTACAACAAAGATTTTATTATTTTTTTGACACTTAGATGCTAAAAATATCCTGCATATCCTACAAAAATATTTGGGTGCACCTACAGAAAAAAAAATTGGGTGCACAGCTCCAATTTTGGGTGCACCCAGTTTTCGAGCCCTGCCACCAGTAAACCCCGGTATGACACCCTAAGATACACACCCAGTAGTGCATGTAATGTTACCTGGGGCGCATACTTCCCCTGCACAGGTGTGTGTACAGGTGTGCACAGGTAAGAAATGGGGGGATGGAAGGGAAAAACACGTCAGTAGGTTACAATGGCTGGTGGTGGGAAAAATGGTCATGTTCATACAGAAGAGTAGATAAAAAACTAGAATTAGAAAGGTAACATTTGCAAAACAAATGCATAACGTTTACCTTCCCATATGGTCTGCTCTGTTAATTCTTACTCAAATACATTCATACATATGGTCAGACAGGAGTCTAAATCCTTCCTGCTATAAAATTGCAACATGATGTAACCCAACACCAGTTACCATGGTGATAGACTGTATGGTTCAGGTCATTGACTTTTTGTGTTTGGAGAAGAGGAACCTGAGCAAAAACAATATGTTTTCCTTCGGTAAACATAAAAAAATGGCAATAAAACGCCACTGATATCCGTGAAACTCTCACGACCAGATGATGATGATTTGGATTTTATTGTAACAAAGTGACAAAAGTTTACTACCTGTTACATTTCGTATTCATGAGAAATTTCAGTGAGTTTTTTTAGTAGAAATCGTAGATCTAATAAGTCTAAGGAAATGTGTATTAACACATTGTCTTTAAGCCAAAAAAGTTATCATTGGTATTTACCTGTGAGAGAATGTTTGTTTGTTTATTTGTTTGTATTTACCTGTGAGAGGATGTTGGTGCACTGCTGCAGTAGCGATACTGGCGGGTTTCCGATACTCGTCGCCAGCTGAACTCTCAACAACTGCTCCTTCTGTGTAGGGTTATCTTTCAGGGCATGTGATAAGGCCACTGAAGCACACCAGTTGGATAAAGCGTCCGTGGAAAATAGTCCGGCACAGAGGAGCTGGCCTGCTGATATTGCACTGGCTGGAGAAGGGATGGCAAAAAATAGTTGGTTTTTAGTTCAACTTAACAGGAAAACTGTGGGCAAATGAAACAACCTCCCTAGGCATAGATATTGACCAATGAGACTGTCTCTTACAACAGTGCTGCTGACCAATGAGATTGTCTCTTTCAGCATAACTATTGACCAATGAGATTGTCTCTTTCAGCATAGGTATTGACCAATGAAATAGTCTTTTTCAGCATAGCTATTGACCAATGAGATTGTCTCTTCTAGTACCAATGAAACAGGCTCTTTCAGCATGGCTTAATTGGCCAATGAGATTGATTATTAGAAATGGACCAATGAAGTGGTCTGACAGCTGTGACCAATGAAATGACCTGTTACATAGTAAAGGACCAATGAGAAAGCTGAAATTCTCACCGTCTGCGGTTGTAGGCAGCAGAGTCTGGACGATCTGGGCCTGTCCGACTTCGTTCTTAAACAGGAAACACTGGAAACAGTAGAGCACAGCGCAGCGCAGCACGAACGGCTGTTTCTCATTCACCATGGACATCAGCAGTACCACAATCGCTGGTCTGGGGGGGAGGGGGGCATTAGGCTGGTGTATGACTGTATGCTCTGTTTGGTATCATCATTGATAATAGTTTTAGTACTTTTATTTAGCTATTTAGTTAAGCCAACACACTTGGACATAAGTTCAACATGCATGAAAGCATTAGAGTGGTGACAACACACTGCTGAATGCAGAAACGTGGTCCAGAATTTCAAAAGCATTTTATTTGCATTTTACTTGCATTTTACTTACCTGGGCGGCTGCGAGGGTGCGTTGACTGAAGCGAAGTACTCCTGGTTAGCCGTGTTCCCTCGGATCACCTCTGATACTGTGTTTATGGTCTGGAATTAACAAGTCACAATAATGAGAATAAAGACAAAAAGTGAGAAAGAAGAAGTGTAACGACAGGTCTAACATGTTGTTTGTGAGTGAGTGAGTGTGTGAGTGAGTGTGTGGGTGGGTGAGTGAGTGAGTGAGTGGGTGAGTGAGTGAGTGGGTGAGTGAGTGAGTGGGTGAGTGAGTGAGTGAGTGAGTGAGTGGGTGAGTGGGTGAGTGAGTGAGTGAGTGAGTGAGTGAGTGAGTGAGTGAGTGAGTGAGTGAGTGAGTGAGTGAGTGAGTGAGTGAGTGAGTGAAATGTCCAGACCCTGAACTCACCTCTGTCAGGATGTCTGCCGGCACTCCACTGGCCATCAGGATCATACATAACTTCTCCAGCAGACCTAGTGAGGGGGGAGGGGGGGCAGGTTAGATATCATCAAGGTCATACACAGCTTATGCAGTAGACCTAGACAGATGGAGGGGGTCATACATAAGGTTAGGCATAATAATTCCTGTATATGTCAGCTCTCAAGGTTATAGGGGTCAAGTTTTCTCTTGTTTCCAGAATATATGAAATAGTGCTTCTTGTTTTACATTGTACAGCTTTCAGAGTTTTGGTTGACCTACTGCACTGAGACTTTGTAAAGACAAAACATAAAGATGTTCAGATATTTAGAAGATACAGAATCATGAGAAAGGTGTGAATGTGCATCTGGGCTCACCGCAGGTGTTCATGACCTTCTGACATGCTGCTATGGAAACGGTCGGGTTGTTAGGGGAGACCAGTGTACGCACCAACTGGAACATACAAACATATCATGTTGCAACATGGTCACTGATTACAAGGTCAAGTTCACTGCATGGTCACATTGAAGGTCAAATAAATCTTACTACACAGTCACACTAAAGGTCAAGTCTAATGCATGGTCACACTTAAGGTCAAAGTTCACTACACATTCTGAAGGTCTAAGTTCAGTACACAGTTCCACTGAGTTTACTACACAATTTACAACAAGTTCACACTGAGTACAAAGGGAATCAAAAGGTCATGACATTAAATTGTGACAATAAGAAAGTTTCCCTGCGAGTGCAGGTTGCTCTGACCTTGAGCATGAGGTGCAGGTTGGTGACCTTCTGTGCGGACCAGCCCCCCGTGGGACTCGCCTCCGTGATGTCAAAAAACGGCGTCAGCTTCTGGATCAGCCTGCGGGAGGGGGGCACAACATAGCAGGCTCTCAAGACGAACAACTTTTGTTTACAATGGAAGTTAACTTTTCTTACTCCCAAGTTCAAGTTTTATTGGGAAAGGGACACTCGGGCCTGGTTAGATCAAACTGCAAACAATCTGAGACACTATAAAACCTACAGTAACCGGCAATGTTACATATTAAAAGTTGACATCATATTTGTAAGTAAGAAGAAAATAGAACAAACATAATTCAAGTTCTACAAAAATATCTTTGTCTAGACAACATCACACAGTTGCAAAGAAAGCAGCTAACATCAGAAGCCCTTTTTAAAAACATGGTGTCATTCTGATTTAATACTAGTTTCTATAACTTGTCATCTCCCATTCTGAAATGACTTTTATTAGTTCTAATCTACGTGACCAAATGTTCTACACCTACCCTCCCTCCTTGAACAGCGTCTGGTTGGAGTTGTTGTTCTTCAGAAGGTTCATCATCAGTAATAAGCAGTCTTCAACAACAATTCCTGCAGAAATAAACAACAATAATAAACAACTGTCAACAACAATTCCTGCAGAAATAAACAACAATAAACAGTCTTCAACAACAATTCCTGTAGAAATAAGCAAAAACAACAATTTCAACAATTTCTACAGAAATAAACAAACAACATTCAACAACATTTCCTGCAGAAATAAATGAACAATTATAAACACGAATTACAAAATCTAAATTTCAAATTTCTGCATAAATCATCTATCTTCAGTGATGATCATTCCTAAACAAAAAAATGCCCAAAATAATTTTTGCAGAAACCAACAATAAATTCACAAGTTTCCATAGTAACAACACAAATAAACAAACCAACCCACCGCCATCGCTGTGTCCTTCCTCCACGATGATCTCCAGAAGTCGCTCAAAGGCGTTCTCAAACGCCACGATCTTCTGGATGGCAGCATTTCCCTTCGTTAGCTGGATCAGCAGTAACAAACCCTGTGTGGGGAGGGGGGAAGTGTTTTATTGTTGCTGGTGCATGTACATTTCAACTGTACACGTACAGACAGACAGACAGACACACACAGACTTGGTGAGCTGGATCAGCAGCAGGAGGCCCTGTGGGGGGAGGGGGGCAGTGTGATAACTCACATAACACATGTATATCTGCTTCATAATGCACACACAAACACTCACAGAAACAGAGAAATATACACACATAAATGCTACGATCTTCTGGATGGCGGCATTTCCTTTCATTAGCTGGATCAGCTGCAGGAGGCCCTGCATATACAAGGGGGGGGGGGGAAATGCATTGTAACTATCATACCCCAAACTGTACACACACAGACAGACACAGACAGACAGACTTGGTGAGCTGGATCAGAAGTAGGAGGGCCTACAGGGGGAGGGGGCCAGACTTGTAACTTGTACTCCAACTGTACACACACACACAGACACACACACACACACACACACACACACACACACACACACACACACACACACACACACACACACAAACACACACAGACACACAAATAGAGACAGACACACACTGCAAAGTTACTCACATCATTCCTGATGACCTCCCGAGCGTCTGAGATCAGGTCCATCAGTCTGGACACACCTGGAAAGGGGGGAAACTTGTCAGCAGGTGAGATAACAGGTTACAGCACCCGTTATGGTTGTGTACAGTAAATATTACAGCAAATACAAATATTTCTACTCCTGTACAGCACCTGTTACAGCTGTGTACCCACCTACAGGACTGTTGAGAATGATCTGCTGCATCTGGCTGCACCTGTTACACAGCAGGGTCGTCATCAGCTTAACGGTCGGCCAGCGCACACGGAAGTCATACTCCTGAAAACACACATCAGAACATCAGGTGGGAACACATATAAAAGAAACCATTAGTTTCCAACAGACCTGTACTCTTCGTAGGTGTTTCCACGACCTTACAAGAAGTTTGTAAACATGTGAAATTTTGAGGATTTTATTTCAATCTATTCTAACATGGGACCTGATCAGAACCAGAAAATAATCTAGGCTGTAACAGCAGAAACCAGACAACAAGGCTGAGCTGTAAAGTTCTCACCTCCAGGAAGTTGAGTAGAAGCTGCACATTTTCCAGTTTTTTTATGAAGATCTCTGTGAACTGTCCCCCCAGGTCCTCCGGCTCTGGTCTTACCTCACCGTTGGTCTGGGGGACATCTGCAACAGTGGACAGATTTAGAGTGGTTCAGAACAGAAGCGGTTCAAGAAAGAAGGGTTCAGAACAGGGGGTTCAAAACAGGGGTCTGAAAAAGAAGGTTATGAAAAGTTTCATAGACCTTCAAACTTCAATGATACAGTCATGTCAAATCAAGCATACCCTTTATTAGTCCTTCCAGTTTTCCTGTTTTCTGTCCTGACTGGGATAAATCAAATACAAAGAAGCTGGAAAGACTAATCGTCACTTTAAAACTCTGTTCTCCCTTCTACTGGGCCAGGGATGGGTAGTGCCCTGGGTTCTAGCACCACAGCATCGACCTTGAACTGACCTTCCTCGTCGTCGTCCTCAGGGTTGTTACACATGATGTTGTTCATCGTGTCCAGAGCATAGTTCACAATCTCTCCATCAGTTCTGGGGAACAACAATCACAGATTCAATATGCGACTCACATATACACAAAAACATTTGTGTACATAAACATAGACATACACTCCTGAATCCAACATATCCACACACACACACACACACACACATACACACATAGTTCACAATCTCTCCATCAGTTCTGGGGAAACAAGTTACAGGTTCAATGTGTGACTCACATATACATGTACTGTCCCACACACTGACATGCACACAGACATACAAGATCACTCAGACAGACTAAGTATATTTTCCAAAATACATACACACACAGACAGATTACATTCTATATTATTCTCCCAAATACACAGGCACGGACTCACATACATACTCCCCCCGAATATGCACACACACACTCACACTAACACAACTCTCCCAAAGGCACACACGCAGACACATACCCTAGGCCTAACCCTCTCACCTGTCTGTCTCCAGTACATTGATGAGTATATCCATGCCCTGGGTTCCCACCTCCAGACGGAACTTCTACAGAATCACGGAAACAAACATAACAGGTTAGAAACAACCTTTTCCTTCCTGTGTTATTTTCTACATCTCATGGCCAACATGTTGGTAACACTAAAATCTTGGAAGATATTTCAAGATATGTCGGTGAAGGTTAGCCATCAAGGTAATAAGGTACACAAAAAAAACCAGTTACATGTAGTACTCAAGCAACTGGACATGATTTGACTAAGAGTCACTTAGTGTCACTGACGAAAGGTAGTGGATGCTACCTGAAATGTCTGACCGTTTCCAAAATCATACCTAGTTGCTTGAGTAACTGTTTTTAGGGATATTTGAAGATCTAGACGTTTGTTTTTAAAAGACACCTTAATTAAGACGTACCTTAGACAGAGCCTTGAGAGCCCGAACAGCGTCTCTTCTGTCGTCCAGAAGTGTGGAGGACTGGACTCGGTCACACAGACGCTCAATCTGGGGAGGGGGGGAGGCATCTCTAGGTTAGAGAAAGTACAGGGAATGACCAATGGACTGTTAAAAAGTTAATGTGGGTGGAAGAGGTACAGTACCTAGTAGCTAGTTCCTACCCTAGCTTCAATGTAGAATTCCTAGTACCCTAGTTCCAAATTGCTCAAACCCTACCCACTAACCAACTCAGCTGCTTCCAACCCCATTCACACTTATTTTTTGGAACATTTCAAAAAGCTTGTAGACTTGCCAACCAGCAAGTGGCCTTTGCCTATAACTACTCTGTACCGCTGGCCTAAAATATGCTAAATGGAAAATGTTTTCTGGCATTTCTGCAATATCTAATTTGCTATCAGTACTGAAAGTTGATAACCTCAACAGCCCTGATGCTGTAGAAGGAACCTGTTAAGTTGTTTATTTGTGTGAACTGTAGACTCTGTACCGTTACACACCTGTCATAACACCTGTAAAACACACCTGTCCAGCTGGCACCTGGAACCACCTGACACACCTGATTATGCACCTAGATCACAACTAGATATCGTCTCCCTTTTCATAGCTATTTCCACTGCGCTAGTCCACGCAATTCCCACCAAATTCCGATCGGAATATCTCCCCAAATAAAATATCCAACTTTACAGCTGGCATGTTTTTGCCACACGTCCATATAATTTTTGCCCCCCTCCCACCCGCTAATAATATATCATATCCTATGTGAGAATTTACTTCCACAAAAGCCACAAATCTTGTCCTACCGTCTCTGCTCCAGTCGGCTGGGTACCAGGCTGAGTCGCCAGGAAATTCTTGAGATAATTCATGATTTGGGCCGGTTTTTTCTTGTTATGATTCCGCAAAATCTGCTTTTTGGAAGCCGGACCGCCTTCCTGGCGCATGCGCGTGACGTGGCCACCCGGCTCCCGGCATGCCCCGCGTCGCGACCTCTGACCTGGTGAGGTTTACTTCCGGGTATGACGTCATGAGTGGGCGTGTCCAGAACAGGTGGATTTTTATATAATAGACCGGTACTTTGGAGAAGGTAACGTTTATACAGGTGAAAGTTACCTGCATATACTGGGAGACAGGTACAACAGGTGAGATCTCACAGGTTTGTGTTTGGGTTTTTGTTGGTTTGCAGGAATAACTGGATCGAAAACCAGTGTCTAGTTAGTGGGGAGGTCTATTAATATTGAACGTTTATACCCTTCTTTGTGGGGGTATGATAAATTATCGGCATTAAAAAACAATTAGGCATTTTATTTGAGCAAAGGGGTTTTTAACCTTGATTTTGCAATGAAAGGAAAATCGTGTGCCTTCAAAGCCAGACAAAAATATTTTGGTAAAATTAATTGCTCTTCTCTTAATAATACAGTACAGACTGTAAAGGCTATATCAATCTCACAGAAACTTGTCAGAGTCGGGTTCTTTGAAAAAAAATGTTTGTACAGCCTTAAAATGCAGACTTAAGGCTGAGAGACAGGTGGGCCGAATGAGTGTTTAGGCAGTCAGGAGTTGTTGTGTCTGCAGGACTAATGGAAAATCAATAATTCCTCTTCAGCAGTAGATTAAAGTGTACCAGGAAGTACTTCTGCTCTGCATGCAGCACACATCACTATATCAGCCTCGTTCAACTGCATTTTCCTTCTGTCAAAGATCCAATGTCCATAGAACATACATGTTGACTCGAGTTTATTTCATGTTCGCTCTTGAAACAAAATTGCAAAGATGTTCGTTGGAGTATGTGGGTTATCACTCTTACTTGGATCCTTTATTACTCTAAAAAACAAGTTTTTACAAGTCTGAGAACGTCCTAATACCACAAGCATAATACAGCTGACAGGTTGGCATTCTGTATCTGCACTCATGCATGCCTGCGCTTCAGTACCCGGCATGTAACCTGAGACATGTCTTTGATGTCCTGCTGAGTGGGTACCTGAGTTGGGCGGGGCACTGGGGTAAGGGTCAGCTGGACATGGAGTGGCTGTCTAGAGTTGGGTTTGGCACAAGTGTTAGCTCACATGTATTATACGTAGCAGTGGGATGCACCTGGTCAAGTTTTCAAATCTAACTTCTCGTATGGCAAAAATCAGTTACTCAAGCAACTGGATATATATGATTTTGCAATTGGAACATTCAGTCTTAAAAGCAACTGGATATGATTTTCCAAAATCATATCCAGTTTCTTGAGTAACTGATTTTTGGCATATCAAATTATTACCTGCATGTCTAACCTTCATCGACGTACTTCTTGTACTCCTTTACAGCTCAGTAACACATCTGGTCCTGAGTTTACAGCAGGATCTCGAGCTCGTCGTGACCCAAGATGACCTCCCTGCTGACCCCGGGTGTCCTGAGGTTTGCGGAGACGCTGCGCGGCCTGAGGTCAACACCGGTGGCCGTAGCGTACCTCTGTCTCATCCCGCTTTCTATTGGCTGGCAGAAAACCACCAAGCCAAGGTCACTACGCAAGGTCAGGCAGTTTATTATGTACAGGCAGTCTGGTTATGTTTTAACTGCAGGACTGTTGTTTTTGCTCTGTTTCATGTTCCCCTTCTTCTCCTAACAAATAAGGTCAATGACCTGAACCAGACATCTGTCACCATGGTAACTAGCGTTGGGTTACATCATGTTGCAGGAAGGATTTAGACTCCTGTCTGACCATATATATATGAATGTGTTTGCATAAGAATTAATTCTATTCATCCTGTAGCAGCAAAATGTGTTAAGAGATGAATCTTAATAGCTATTGGTTATTGATGACTGGTTATTGATAATAGGTTATTGGTGATTGGTTATTGATGATAAGTTATTGATGATTGGTTATTGATTCCTGCAGACCCTGGTGGTGTATAACCTGTTGTGCAGTGTCCTCAGCCTGTACAGTTTCGCGGCGTTTGCGTACGGCGTGTTTTTCATCAGCCCGTCCTGGTTCCACAAGGCAGAGGTCAACGCCCTGAAGCACGTTTTCCTGCTCTACTGGATCACCAAGAACCTGGAACTCTGGGATACCATCTTCATGGTGAGCTGCTCTTTCTGTCTTCTACATTTGTAAGAAGTAAAACATCTTTTCTTTTGAAAACAAATTAAAAAGAGCTACAATCTTACTCAGATATATGTACTGACAAAAGATATTGGATGCTGTTTGAAAGGTTTGATTGTTGAGAAAACTTGTCCAGTCATTTGATTTATTTGTCTTAAGTAGTGATGAGTGTTTTGTTTCCCCCAATGCATCGTTACAGCTCATAGGCGTTACTAACACTAATCCAGGTGTTACAGCACAGTTGTACCACTAAAATATCTGCCCCCCCCCCACGGTGTTACGGCACAAACGGAGACAGATGTCATTTCTCCATGTGTACCACCACACCTCCATCCTGCTGTGTTACAGCACAGTTGTTACACCACAGTTCTGTCCCCCCCAGGTGTTACAGCACAGATGAGGTACTGACAGTTCTGCCCCCCCCCCAGGTGTTACGTCACAGGTGAAGACAGATGTCGTTCCTCCATGTGTACCACCACACCTCCATCCTGCTGCTGTCGTGTCCTGTGTTACAGCACAGTTGGTGTACTAACATTATTGCCCATCAAGTGTTACAGCTCAGATGTACCACTGACAGTTTTGACCCCCCCCCCAGGTGTTACGGCACAGACGGAGACAGATGTCGTTCCTCCACGTTTACCACCACAGGTGTTACAGTACAGACGAGGTACACCACAGTTTTGTCCCCCCAGGTGTTACACCACAGTTGTTACAGCACAGTTTTGACCCCCCCCAGGTGTTACGGCACAGACGGAGACAGATGTCCTTCCTCCATGTGTACCACCACAGGTGTTACAGTACAGTCAAGGTACTAACATTATTGTCCCCCCAGGTGTTACAGCACAGTTGTTACACCACAGTTTTGACTCCCCAGGTGTTACAGGACAGGTGTTACACTAACATTTCTGCCCCTCCCAGGTGTTACGTCACAGACGGAGACAGATGTCATTCCTCCATGTGTACCACCACAGGTGTTACAGTACAGTCAAGGTACTAACATTATTGCCCCCCCAGGTGTTACAGCACAGTTGTTACACTACAGTTTTGACTCCCCAGGTGTTACAGGACAGGTGTTACACTAACATTTCTGCCCCTCCCAGGTGTTACGTCACAGACGGAGACAGATGTCCTTCCTCCAAGTGTACCACCACACCTCCATTCTGCTGCTGTGTTACACCAGTTTTCTCCCCCCAGGTGTTACACCACAGTTGTTACACCACAGTTTTGTCCCCCCCCCCTCCAGGTGTTACGGCACAGACGGAGACAGATGTCGTTCCTGCACGTGTATCACCACACCTCCATCCTCCTACTCTCCGACTTCTGCTACCACCACTACCCCTGGGCCGCCATGGCGGTCCCCCTCGGCCTGAACTCTCTCGTGCACGTGTTCCTGTACCTGTACTACGGCCTGTCCGCAGCCTTCCCCGACAAGCCGTTACCATGGAAACGGAGGGTGACAGAGCTACAGGTGGGTGACTGTTGTGGTTTAGTGGTTGGTAACCCTGCCTATGGTCTGGATGGGAGAAAGTTTGAATCCCACCAGACATGCATGCCACTGTCCACTGTCCAGTACATGAAAATAGATTTCTCTGGGAATTTCCTGTGTACTGTAATTCACGGTAGCAAAATTATTTGGGTCTCAGGAAAATGGACAGTGTTCAGTGGCAGCATGTGCAGGGACAGAGTGGGGAAAGACAAATGATTCGACAATAGTAATGAAAAGCACTGTTCTATTCTATTCTATATGATACTCAGTATCATATAGAGGGCAAAGCCCTATCTAGGGCATCCCGCCCAGTACAGTACATTAGTGACCATGAAAGCCATAAACAGAAAAGTACAGTGAAAAATCAGTTACTTGAACTTGTATGTACTGCACATAATGCCTTAGAAGAGCAGCAAAAGGCTCATTTTATTTCTTTTCAATTTTATTGTTTTTCTCCAGATTGTGCAGTTTTTCATCGGGTTAGTGCACAGCTCCCTGGGATACCTGTACCACGGCTTCTGTATCTACGGGATTGGCTATGGGCTGAGCATGGTCGCTCTGTTCTCCAACTTCTACTACAGGGCATACCTACAGAAACAACCTGTCAATCAAGGCAAGAAGACTAGCTGATTGGTCAGGGAAAGGGTTGGGATGTACCATTCCCTCAGAGGGGTGCAGAGTTACCTTTTCAATCCCTTCAAAAGCAAATGATTGCAATATTGGAGGCTTTTTTGTTATGTCTTCCTAGTAAAACTCAATCACTATTATGTAAAAGGTATTATCAATGAGTTGCAATCTTGCCTTCTTATCATTCCAATAAGGTGTCGGTCAACATTCCTCTCTTAGTCTTGCCACTAGAGAATGCAGCCACTCAGTAACTAAACATTTGACAGGTTGCTCAATGAATTACATAGATAAAGAACAGATTTTTAAACATTTTGTTATCACTTTTGTAATTGCAATTTTTACTATGCAATATTTCCAGTAACAATTACATCATGTTGCCTTCAATGTTAATATATTCAATATATAAGCAAAACTGTAGATTGCAAAATGCCAATGGAATTTGGATGGGGATAAATATACAGTGTATTAATGATTAACTTCCATAAGAAGGGGGTTACTATATATAATAGCAGGGAGGGCCACTTCTGTGAAACATTTTCAACATTAGGCAACTTGTTGCTTTCTGCTACACTACATTATTGTTGCAATTTTCAACACACCCAGTTGCAATTGCTATCACTACATGTAAGTCTTGTTCAGTTTGGTTATATTCAATAACTTGCCACATAAAACAGTCATGATAATTTCTGTACCATGTAACTGGGAAAAACTGAATCAAGGAAGGTGACAGGTGCATGTTTTCACCTATTTCAGCTCATATATTTTACATTTGTAATGCCAAAGACCTAATCTTGCCTCTAGTCTAAGATAGTGGGAGGTATATACATGTATGACTGTGCTAGTACAATTTGTGGATAGCGGTGAACGTTGGTTTATCAAAATCCTCATGGCAATGAAGAATTTATTAATTTTTAAATTTTATACATCTTTTGAATGAAAACATTTGGCACTGTTTGTATTGATAAAAGCTGCTGATCACATAAAAGTGAATTTCTACTTACTATTTAAAGGTATAGATGATAAGTTAAAGAAATATAATAATTAAGTTAGTTAGAGATGCTTAATGCACTTGTAAGGGCTTGTGAAATTGATAGATTCTGGTGCAATGGTGAAGGTTGTGTGAAATAAACATTTGATATTGCAGAATTCTGTGAGAGTTTCATTTCCCACATATATTTTGTTGAGCTTGAAGTCATGGCTGCAGTACTGTTATCCACCACAAGGGGGAGCTACAGTGTAACATGTCTACTCATGACAGGACTCCACATTAGAGACTTACACCCTTTATTCTTCCTTAGTAGTCATCACAAAAATACAAATGTATCCTAATAAACTTCATTAAAATATAATATATACATAATATTATACATCATACAGTTATGGTGTAGAGTAATGGATGGGAATGAGTCACAAAATTATTTGGCTCATGATTACTAAAATTCTCATGATTTTTGTGTGACCCTTACACTGATTTGATATGAGGTTTCATCATGAAATAATGTACCTGCTAGTTTGCATAATGGCCTTACAGTTAGTTCTTTCGGTTGCTGTGATTGGTTGGAGTTCCATCCAATCAGTGTGCAGTACAATGTATTTGCACCTGGCATGGACACAAAACCTTGTGATTGGTTGTCCTTCTTCCAATCCCAAATCACCCATGATACACCTGGATCAAAGATAGCCTGTGATTGGCTTGCCAACCTCCAATCAGAAGTTGCTTGGAATATTCTCTGCACCTGGGTGGAGTTCTAGAACCATCTGATTGGCTGTAAGAAAGCCAGCCTATGATTGGTTGACCAACCTCCAATCAGAAGTTGCTTGGAATGTTCTCTGCACCTGGGGGCAGTTCTAGAACCATCTGATTGGCTGTGAGGTGGTCGAGCAGGCGCGCCACGGGTTCGTAGCGGCGCAGTGTGCTGACGGAGCCAATCAGGAGCAGCTTGTGCTTGGCGCGGGTGATCGCCACGTTCAGCCGACGCCAGTCCTGCAGCAGCTCGCCTAGCTGTGGGGGAAGGTCACAGGAATGAGGTTCAAGGTCACAGTGAATGAGGTACAAGGTCATGGAATATAATGAAGTACAAGGTAACAGGGAGGTAAAAGGTCACGGATGAGGTCACAGAATAAGGTACAAGGTCGAAGGAATGAAGGAATGAAGTAAAGGCCACTGTGAGGGAATGCAGTACAAGGTTACGGAATATAATGAGGTACAATGTCACAACAGAACAGGTACAAGGTCAAAGGGATCACTGACTTAAAATATTTTCCTTCTAGATCTTTGATGTTAATTTCTCCCATACCTGCCCAGCAGAGTTACTCCTGACGAAGGTCACCATGATGACACTCTTGTCGCGACCTTGGTACTTATCCACCGTGTTGATCTCCACCCCAGGGTATCCTGTGCTGTTCTCCCTCCCGGGGCAGCCTGCTCCCTGTAGCAGGTCAGACAGGACCCGAAGCTGTCGTCTGTAGGGAGCGATGATGCCTATGTCCTCCTGCGGGCACCCAGCCTGGGTACAGAGGACGGCTTTGTCAGGACTAGTAAATAAATTCATATAAAAGTAAAGGCAGGCACCCAGGCTGAACACAGAGGAGTCAGTTATGTCAGGATTTGCAAGCATGTCAAATGATAGCATGTAGATAGAACATACTGCGCCTGCGCGAAACCCTGATTTTTCATGGTTTCCGTTAGATGTTTGGTCAACGATGCAACCGTTTTGCCTGTTGCAGAAGATATCTTTTCCAAAAACATGTGCAGTACGTTCTGGGGATGTGCTTCAAATGATGGTCATGTTGAAATTAGAAATACATTTCTTACCTGGACCAGTGCAGGAGTTACTCCTGTACCCTACATGTACATGTACGTACCTGAACCAGTGCAGAAGTGAGAGTCCTGACCAGCTGAGCTTCTGTCCTGTTACTCAAACCTCCCTGCTCACTGGTCTCTAGGGCAGGCACCTGTGGGGAACACACAGGCATGTTAACTACCTAAACTATCTAGCTAACCAGCTAAACTAGCCAACCAGCAGAGTTGATTATCTGTACATGTGCTAACCAGCTAAACTAACTAGCTATCCAGCTGTGTTAATTAACTGTGCTATCCAGCTAACCTGACTAGCTAATGAGCTTTGTTCAGTACGTCACATTTCAAAGAAGCCACGTGACAAGCCTCACTGGGTCAGTCTACTGAGGAAGACCAGAGTGACTGGTCGAAAGCTCTAGGTGAGAGAACTTTTGTGTTGGATCTAAAGTTTTAACTTTAAACAGTCATGTAACTACCAACACAGATGAACTTTCATAATAGTTTCTGACCTTGTCAGTATCCAGGAATCTGACGGGAGCGTCCGGCCTGAGTGCTTCCCGTATCCATGACGATGCCACGCCCAGCCCCAACATGGCCGCCTCCAGCTGGTCCCAGGCAGGAAGGTCGAGTCGGGCTGCCGCGACCTTGTCTGAGCCGCAGCAAAGCTTCCCATCATACATCAGGGTGTTGCTGAGCTCCATGATGTCAGAGTTCATCCGGTACTGGACATTTAGTTGAGCTGTGGCGCTCTGGAGGGAGTAAATAAGCAAACAAACAAACCTCCATATTACATCAGAAACAAGTAAAACTAGAAAGATAACATTCACAAAGCAAGTGCATAATGTTAACCTTTACATGGCCTAGTTCAGCAAAGTACTGCACCGTTTATTCTTACTCTAAGTCAAATACATACACATATATTTGATGACCAGCCCCTCCAGCTCTGTCCTGCCACATTGCTACATAATGTTATCCAACACCAAAGGGTGTCTGCTATAGCACCAGTTACCATGGTGACAGCCGACTTACCTGATGATGTCCCATCTTTTTGAACAGACTTTCGTCCATGCCCATCCTTCGGGCCGTCCCACTCTGGATCAGGGGGGGCAGCTGTGGTGGTCGCCCACGAGCACGAACCGAGTGGCATGGACCAGCGGACCCAGGCACACGGGCTGCGCGATCTGCGACGCTTCGTCTACGATGCACACGTCAAACTTACGCCGCGAGAACAGCGGGTGTTTCGCTCCCAGGCACGTGGTTGCAACGATGGGCTGTTGAAAATACACAGAAGGAAAAATGTTTGTTGGATGTTAAATCATAGCCTGGTTACTAAACCTATCTTAGCTATTTGCAGAGAGGACGTAGGACTACGTACTAGCTAAAACAGGTTTGGTAACCAGGCTAGCTACATGTAAAGTCAGTGTCATATCGAGACACAGGAATTTCTCATACAGAGTAATGAGAGTATGTCTGGGAAGCAACAGGGGATCTCAAAACACTACAATGTCATCTAAAAGCTACTCTGGATGAACTGTTTTGCATAAGAGTTTTAATGCACACATACCAATATTGTTAAAATGAGTGACAGCTAAATGTACAGGAAATTTAACAGTAAAAATTCTTCTTTTTCAATCGCAAAATACATGAAGTCCTCGCACAAAGAAAGCAGAATCCCCTCCCACCTTGTCCATGTATAGTTTGTCAAGCTGCTCCACGGTGGTCAGTCCTCGGGCCAGCCGGTCCTCCGTGTGTGGGGCCACACCTGGGTGGACACGGGACGAACTGCCCAGTCGCAGGAAATCAAGCTGGGAAACAGCAAGGCAAACAACTGCATTGTTTATCAGGTTGACAAGAGACTGTCCTGTATTCAACAATGTGGGTTTTTACAGCCAACATTTTGGTGAGAAAGAGAGAGAGAGAGAAGAGAGAGAGAGAGAAAGACAGAGAGAAGAGAGAAGAGGGAGAGAGATGACAGAGTTTCGGAAAGATAGATTTCATCTTAATACAACCCAACAGGAGAATTCAGTATGAACTCATTTCTCACCTTATACCTGCTGAGTTTGAGCAGAACGTTGTCCACAGCAGAGTTAGTGTATGAAGTCAGCAGGACAGAGTTCCCACAGGCCAGCAGGATTGAAAGTTTGAGTTATTTCTAACCTAAAGGCTTGTACTTGCTGAGTTTGAGTTATTTCTCACCTTGTACCTGCTGAGTTTGAGCAGAACGTTGTCCACAGCAGAGTTAGTGTATGACGTCAGCAGGACGGAGTTCCCACAGGCCAGCAAGATTCTCACCAGCGCGACGATGCTGGTGGTTTTCCCCGTGCCAGGCATGCCCACGATCAGGGTGTAGTCTCTCGCCATCAGGACTTTCTTAATGGCCTGCTTCTGGGGCTGGTTCAGACCTGGAACATCATGAGATTGAAACGTGAAGCATTGTCTAAACTGAATCATAACTAACCTGATCCGACATCTAAACTTGTGTATAACCTAACCTACATGAAGTAGGCTACTGGTAACTCACTATTGCTCAAACTGCTAGGATGAAGAAATAGTGGGAATTGAACTCTGCACATTTAGATGGGAATCAAACTCTGAGTATTTTAGCAATGAGAGATGGGAATCGAACCATTTACCTTTTGACTATGTTGGCAATGGGATTTGAACTCTGCACCTGTGAGTATTTAGTGATGGGAATCGAACACTGCACCTTTGAGTATCTTGGAGATGGGAATCAAACTCTGCACCTTCAGATGGGAATCTACACCTTTGAGTATTTTCCCGATGGCGTCCTGTTCATGGGCCGGGCACATGCCTGATAATATAATGGGAATCGAACCCTGCACCTTTAACTATTTGGGTCATGTGAGATGGGAATTTACCTTTGAGTATCTTGCCAATAGCCTCCCTAGCATCAGCAGGACACATGTCAGACACCCTGGTGTGGAACCTCGGCTCCTGCTGCTCGATGATCAGTTCCCGAAGTCGCTCGGCCGCCGCCGTGTTCCCCATGAGCCGGGCCAGGTTAGCCAGGCTGGTCCCCGTAGAACTGTAGCCGTCCTTCTTATCCA